TATGTATGTATGTATGTATGTATTGTATATATGGTTACAACTCCTTGCAGGCGCAATCCAGAGGCGATATGCCCTGCAACTCGCATGTGCGATCTCAGGCGGGAGACGAGAGGCAACTGCCGAATGGGACCTTCCCTCTTGTGGAAGAGGTATTTTACCTGCCAAAGCAAGCACAACCCTCATGGCGTTTTGGCAGGAATGAGGAATGAGGGCTTCAGGCGTCCCGGGTAGAGATTCAAGGACGATATGACTTTTTGGCCCAACGTTGGAACAGATCTCACTAACCAGATGTGCATGCGCAACACTGATCATAACTGATGTGATGCAAGTGCCCCGTTTGCATTGATTGCCGCTCGCGTTGGCTCATGGGGTGCCCCACTACGGGGCAGGGGGGGGGGGGGTGTCGGCATGTTTGCCATATGGGGGAGTGATCACCCTGGGGTGGTTGCAAGGGACCCCACCCATTTGGTGGGTTTTGTTGCTAAGATGTCGCCGAAGCACCTTGTTCTTTGAATGGCTGGCACTAGCAGCACCGAAACCTCTCAAACCTGTCAATGACAGGAAATATGGGATACACAATGTTGCCTGTTCTATATGGGGGTGCCTTTTCTTCAGGTTGATTTTCAACCCAAACAGCAATCAACCATTTTTGGAGTTCCCTCAATTTGAGACAATCTCATACACTAAAGATGTCTACAAGTGTATCAATATATGGCCATGGGTCAAAATCCCGTACCCTCAGTGAACTCCCAATCCCCACTAAAATAGGTTCTAACATGGGTGGTGTACCTAGCCCAAAATGGGATCTCATTGGTTTTGACCCACAGGCATATGTATACAAACGTCCATCATCTTGGATCTGACCAGACGGGGGTTTTTTCGCCTCCGCTTTTTCAAGAGGCGCTGATGGAGATCCTGTGCAAGGCGGGATTCCTCTTCAAATGCACGCCGGACAACTTGTTTGTTCGTTTGGTTTATGGGTTCCTTGTGGTTTGTGGTTTCTTTCAGGATTGTTGTTTCCATTTTTGTTGGTTTGTGGTTCCTTTTCGGTTTCCCTTTCAACACCACCCAACAAGAATGGTAACGTCGAACCACGACACACCGGGTTTGTGCTGCTAGAGAACACGATCTCAGTGGCTTCACACGACATGCTTTGGCCCTGTGAGTGGAAGGCGCTTCGCAAAATACATATGTGGAAATGCACGACAGGTGGCGTATACGTACCTGGGCTGCTATGGCAACATGCAGCAGCGCAGTTGGGAGCCCCGGACGCTTTTTTTTTTCCTTCCCGGCCTCAGGTACTGAGGTACCGGCATGTGGGAGTCAACGTTGACATGAGAAAGGGGCAGGGGTTCTCTACTAGGTCCCCCAGCTAGGTGCCCTTGTACCCTTTTTTTGGGGAGGGTTCCCCTACTAAAATAGACGACAGAAAAAAGATTGGGTACCCTATTCTAACCTCTCTGGAGGACCTAGTCTAGTTTTCACATATCCAAAAGGAAATTGAGGCGCCTAGGCCTAAGCTGATGGCTCCCAGAAAGAGAGGCCTTTCGACTTTCGGAGCCCGGGAGTCCGGCTGAATAGACACGTCCTTCGATGGAAATCCCGTGAATTCCGGATCGATCCGGGCGAGGCATGTCGACCCTGTTGCAGAGCGTTTGGCTGCTGGTCTACTTGTGCGCGACTCAGCGCGCGACTTGCAGGAGAAATGGGAATGGCCGTCCCTGTTCAAGGGTTGCACGATTCTGGGTGCTCTTGAACGCCTTCCACTTCCTGCCCAATGGAGGCGCAGAGGCAGGGATAGAGGCACTAGAGGCAGAGACAGCGGTCGAGGCAGGGATAGAGGCACATACACAGACACAGACACCCACAATTCAGAGTGGGCGAGAGACAGAGGAACAGACAGCCAAAGACAGACAGGATGTTCATTCGTCTTTGAAGTTTTCCACCCGCTGGTTCGACGGTGGGCGGGGAATGATCCATGTTGCAACAACACTTCGGGGCGACCGACTTGTTGCCACCTCAGTGGAGCTGGCTGGCAAGACATGCGGCAAACCATGGACAAAACAAGCCTTATCCCCAAAGCCAACTTTGAATTCAGCCTGGATACCACTTGCCAACGAACACCGACCAACACATTCAACACCAACCACCCAACCAACCACCCAACCAACCAAACAAGCAACCAAACAATCAACCAGCTTTTTTGTTTTACTCAGTCTGTTCGTTTGTGTTGTGTTGCGCGTGTGTTGTTTGTGTTTGGTGTGTTGTGTTTGTTTTGCTTCTTTCGTGGTTTCTCCGTCCGTTCGTGCTGTTCCCCCCTGGTTCGCCTAGGCGCTTCACGGTGGAGAGCTTCCGCCGCAGCCTGGCGCAGCGGGAGGAGGTCGAGGAGGAGGCGCCGCTTCTGCAGGCGGTGCGAAGGCTGCCGGGTCCTCGGGAGAATTCGGAGAGACGAGGTTTGCGGCTCTTTCCATTCAGATGTTTTTTTGGGGCAACCCCGAAAACTCTGGTTTTCGTTTTGGTTGCCATGTGAAACAAGCAGACAAGGGGGAGACACATCTGGGCTCAGGCGTCCCTTGTTGAGGGAGAAAGCAATGGTTGTGATGAATGGTGCGACACGCATAGTCTGATGGTCGCTACAGTCATGATGAAGATAGTGAGTTTGCTGGTTGTGACTGCCGTGGTTGAAGTGGTTGGAAGTTCTAATGGCTGCAATTTGTAACGGAGATGGCCATTGCAATGTTCGATTTGTGTGCAATACTCATCCGGGTGTTTTAAACCAAGGTAACACTACCATTTCCGGTGAGCAATTTGTCATTTTGGCAATGCAGCTGCCAGTCGCCAGACCTGTGTCTGGCAAAACACCAACCCATTGGTTTCCAAACTATTGTACCCGCCTTCTGAGTTTTGACACGTCGAACAAGGGGGGTTGCTTTCGACCAACCCCATCATAGGTATGAAGGGACACGAACATGCAAGCGAAACAAGCGACCAGCAATCCAACTAGCCAGCCAAGCCAAGCCAAGCGAAAGCCAAAACCAGGCAAAGCAAAGCAAAGCAAATCAAAGCAAAGAAAATCAAAGCAAAGCAAAGCAAGCAGCGAAATCTGCACAAAGGCATTGCTCAAGCAGACACTCTACAACAGCGATGCTTTGAATCTTTGGCATAGTTTCAAGCCAGGAACATGGACATTAGATTTCTCTTGCCGTATTGAGAATAACCTTGCCCCTCCAGAATATGTTTGCTGCTTGAAAAGCTTGTAACCGGTTCAAAGCTCCTTCAGAGGCAAGTGTGGTATGAAGACTCAAGCTGCGATCCTGCTTTCTTGAGGGTGGAATGCTGGGAGACACTTTCCTTCGGTGATCGATACAAAGCTCAACATATGTCGACGGGTTGTTTGAACGGCGCTGTCTCGATGTGCCCTTCCTGAGGGATCCGGATGCTTGGGTCATCGACGATGCTCCCGACTTCGAGGACATGTGCAACATTGAGCTGTGGTGCTATAATGTCATTTATTTGCCAACACATGAAAGGGCCGGAGGGTTGGAGGGGGTGTGCATGTGTGGATGCTTACGGACAGACCTTGACCACATCTAATACAATGGATCGTCGTGCCGGTCAACATCCCAGCAATTGCCTGCCGGCTCATAGGAACGATTGCCTGATCTCTAAGTTGAACGATTCCAAGCTGCGACGGCTTTCTTCAAATGCTGCCACTAGGCTTGTTCCAATGGAATGGTTTGGGTGTTTCTCAACACGGAGGCTCCCTAAAACGGTTGTTTTCTGGTGGATTTCCTCAAAAATGCCAACCAAAAGAGGGCTTGTCTGCGATACTGAGCAACTCTTTGCGTGAGCTTGAGCCCTGTTCTGATTTGTGCAGTCGCAGGATGGCATGCCGGTGCAGACCGCCAAGGTTCTGCCTAGGGAGGCAGGGGAGTTGATTCCCAGCCGCAAGGATCGAACCAAGTCCTTCCTCACTGGCCGTTACGTGAATTAAGCGGCGCTTGTGGTTCGACGCTGGAGTTGAGTTCATTTATTCCAGAGAACACACGCGCACACACACTTTTTTGGTGAGATTCCCTTCCGTTGAACCAGACCACCACAGCTCACTCATGTCCTCGAAGTCAGGGACCTCGACGTTCGCACGGAGACAAACCCATTTGGCGAACGCCTGCCATGCGGCTTTGCCTCGGCCAGGCCGGCAGGCAGAAGCAGGAGGCGCTGAAGGACAGCCCAAGAAACAAGGCCACGCAATTTGACATCCTGCATTCGACTGGGGGTGACGGATTTGAGGGTTTTGGGCTGCCTTGAAGCGAAGCCAGATGGCTGTGAGTCCAAAATGGGTGCCCAAAATGGAGCCCTGGTAAATCGACACATGGACTAAAACCTGTGATCCATATCCTGGTGGTCTAATGTTGACACATACCCACATCAAGAAACTGCGGTTGTGTTCAGCGGATGTTTGCCGCTTTTGGAAGCTCTCGCAGATACCAGCGTACAGTTTTTGCCCTCTGACCTGGAACTGCTCAGCAGTTCCCGCCAAGAAACTACAAGAATCTAAATTGTGGGGTACTTTAAAACCAATTTTAATCATGATTATAGTGAGCTGTTGGTCACGAGCCCCTTGTGCCGATGTCCAGGAGGGAACGCCCTACGTGGTGAACGATACTTGCCAAGTTTGCCAGGGGCTGAGGCTGTCAACAATTTGACTGCTAGCTCACAGCTTTGGAGAAGGGTCGGCGGTTCTCTAAGAAGGGGTCCCGGTCCGGATCGTCCAGGGATTCCATGAAAGGCATACTCGTTCGTCCAATTTTTGGACCCCTTCCTCCCTTCCTGTCCCATGCTGGTGCTTTGCTTCCTTTCCCTTTCTTTTGGAGCCATCGATTCTCTGATGCCCCGAGGCAAGTCACGGGCATCGCCCTGCGATTGGGGGAACCTCAGGCGGGGGATTTATTCGAGGCCTCCAGTTGTCGAAGGGAGAGCCACAGTCAAAAACCTGGGTAAGTGAAGGTTAGCTGCCGCCTAATTCTTCCATTTCTGTTTTTGGGGGGGTAGGCCACTTGTGATTGTTACTCAAGTGGTACAGGAGCCAGTCTTGGCTGCGACTCTTGCAGTCGGAGAGTTTTAGTCACTTTCTCTTTAAGGAGCGTGGTGTCGGTTTTTCTTTCTTGGGCTTTCTATCCTTGGCGCCTTGCGCTTTCTCTGACGGCGAGTAACAACCCGAGGGAGTGCGTTGACAAATTGCCGGAGCTCCCACGGCTTTTTTGTTTTCTTCTTTTTTTTCTCCGGAGGATCCTGAGGAGCCGTGGTTTTTCGACTCAGGAACAGGTCAGGCATCTGCAAGTGGACATGACTTGGTGCATCCCTTTGCCAGGCCATACGGCCACTCAGAGGTCTGGGTGGTTTGTCTCAAAGGAGGACCTTCAAAAGGGATCAAAAAGGATGGTTTTCATTTTGGCTTCCCTTGGACAACCCCAGAAAAGGGTAGCCTCAAAAAGTGACGCCCTCAGATTTGCGGATCAGCTTCTTGCTGCAGGGCTTCCTCCAGAACCAAGATTCGTTGGAATCTTCGGGCTGTTTCAATGAAGCCGACACTCCTGAAGGGGACAGTCCACTTCCATCCATTTCCCCTGCATCAACGTATCAGCCCAAGCCTCTAACCGACAATCACCACACTGGCACGTGGCCAATGAGCTCAAGCTCCGCCAGATGCTTTGCATGCTCGAAGCTGGACTCTTTGGCCTTCAAGTCGCTCCCTCAGTGCTTCACTTGAACAAACACACATGGCCATGGGTCAAAATCCCGCACCCCCCGGTGAACATCCCAATCCCCACTAAAGCAGACTAAAATGGGTGGTGCACCTACCCCAAAATGGTACCATTGGTTTTGACCCACGGCCACATCCACACGGGCTTTTGCCGTCAGGAGTGGCGGGGTTCCCCATTTGTGCAACATGCAGACATGGTGTTGGCGGCTCCAAGCACCAGACTGTGCAGAATGCCTGCCATGAATCTTGGTTTCCACCAGAGATCAACGGATCCAGATTTGACGTCGGATGGTTGCCATCTTCGGAGCACTGGGGACAAACGATGGCCAGGTTGCAGACTGAAATTTGGGCGAGCGATCCTGGGGGCCTTCCAAAGTGCCAGGGAAGACCTGGCACAGACCTTCGTGTTTGCACCATTCGCAGCTTTGGGATGTTGAACCCCGTGGCGCGACCGAGGCGCCACCCTCTGATTGCTCTGCTGCGGCGAGCTCTGGTCGAGCGCTCGGCCTTCGCCTCAGCGTCGTAGGTGTTCAACTCGCTGGGGTAGAGACAGCTCAAGCCCTGTGGCTCAAGTCGTGCCGTTTTGTTTTTTTCACCATGATTCACACTTCCCTCTCAAGTTTCCATGGGCACGCGCCCGACCGTAAAGCGTATCAAATGCAAAAGCACCACAGGGCGGGTGCTAGTTAGACTTGATCCACAAAGGCAACGTAAATAGTCTCACCTAATCCCACATAGTCGGAAACTATACACTGGCAAATTGCAACTCAAACCCATGCCAAACGGACCACATACTTACATACGTATGTGCATGCATATATACTACATGTATGCATGCCGACAACCATATCATTACACATCTTGTAGCATACCAATGTATTTTCGAACTCCACTCATTTTGGACCACCCAACTCGGAGGATTGTCTCCTTGTTTGCGGCATGCATATCTGGACACAAATTGAACAGAATCGAATTTCGGGGGACTTTCACACCTAGTAAATCGACCCCTGCAGTTGGTTTGAATCGGCGCACTCAGAAGCCCACCCCTTCCAAGTAGATATGCCTTGATTCTCATTCCGAGGCGGCTATGGCCGGAAAACCGCCCCGTGCGCGAGGCTCAGGGGAGGTGCTTCTGCCTTGTAGGCCGCCTTGGATGCCGCGCAAGCAACGATATTGAACAGAAGACACAAGACTCCTTGTTTTGCTGCGCACGATTCACAGGGGCAATTGAGCGCAAGGAGCATCCGTAGTTCTCCCTTTGTTTTCAAGCGGGTTGATCAATTTTTGGCGCGGTGAATAGCCGCTCCTGCAGGCCTGCTGCTCATCTGGCTGCCTTTCTGCGAAGATTTTGATTTAATTGCAGGAGCATTTGACACTCACGAGTGCAAGGACCTAAATAAGTCAATTGCCGAGAACTAATCATTGGATGACGTTTGCACCTTGGACCAAAACCGAAACGTCAAGAAACAAGTGGAGCTAACCAAGGCAAACAGCAAACTATCTTCTTCGCCAGCACTCATTTCGCATTTCGCAAGCCAGGGAGGCTTGCGTAAGTAAAAGCACTCCAAGAAAGAAGAGAAATGGGAACCATTAAAAAAACAATGTGGTTCATTGGTTGAGGGAAGGCGAAAAGACAGTTTCTGACACCTGCAACTGGGCTGTGTGGCAATACTAGTGGCATTTTTGCCCCAAAGGCTGAGTTTCATGCCCAGGTTCGATCAACGCCACTTTCGCCGCCGCCGTTCCAGGACAGAACCACATGCGCGATGGTCAAAAGACCCCTGTACTCGGGGTAGGGATGGCCATGGACTCCTTATTTAAGCATACAACCAATGAGCAGTTTCCTACCAAGGGAAGCATGACTATGATCCACATAGGGAGTCTTGACCACGGCCCATAATATGAAGTTGCATAAATGTGGGTCCATCAATTGGGGAAACACCTATATGAGCAGGCCGGGCCGCAGTCATCAGCACTCCTTGGACAAGAGATGTGGACCCCTTTTTTCTGCATCCCCTGGAACAAAAAGCGAACCAAATGGCAGGGCTGGTTTTGCTTCGACCAAAGATGTAACTCCTTCAAAACCAAGTGGCCCCGCGCTGAAGGTTGACAGGTTGCTTTCTGTGAAGGCCTGCATCTGGACTTTAAACCCTCAACCAACCCCTTTGACTCAGGCCCATAGGTTCCTTTTTGGTTGGTTTGCTTAAAAAAAGAGGGCCCTGGTTTAGATGGGGTTATTCCATTTACCAGGGCCATCTATTTTTCCAAAAGTTCACCTATGCTCAGGCCATGTTGGTGCCCTTTCCGCATTTCCCGCAGGAGAACGACAAACTACAGCCAGGTGGAGAGGAGGCACTTTGCCCATAGTGGCCAGCGCTTCCCTCTCTGTGCGAGCAGATGTGGCTGCGGTTGTCAAAACCGTTTTGGGATCCCGGTTTTGGGGATTGGTGAATTCACCACCCATTTTAGAGCCTATTTCAGTGGGGATTGGGATGTTCACTGGGGATACGGGGTTTGGACCCATGGCCATATTGTTCAAGTTGCGATCGTTTTTGCCGAACTCTTTGCATACCATTGGGGAGTCTTTTTTGGGGGGAAGTGGCGTCGATTGCCTGCGTAGGTCATGATTTGGGGTTAAACAAATGCCCAAGAATCCTGCTTTTGTAGCCATTTTGTGTCATTTAGGTTGTTATTCAGGTTTGAACAATGCCCAACACTCGTGTTTGCAGCGGCGATGTTGTTGTCTCTACCTTGCAATTTGTCCGATTCGCTGCCCTTTGTTTGTCTTTGTCAGCGCCTGCCCGCCTGTTTGTTTGTTTGTTTGTTTGTTTGTTTGTGTGCGTGTGTGAGTCTATGTGGATAATTAAACCACCAGGGGGCCGCAGGTTTTAGTCGTTGGTTCTATGTACCAGGGTTCCAATTTGCTACCCATTTTTGACCCACAGCCATGTCTCTCTGTCTCTCTGTCTCTCTGTCTCTCTGTCTCTCTGTCTCTCTGTCTCTCTGTCTCTCTGTCTCTCTGTCTCTCTGTCTCTCTGTCTCTCTGTCTCTCTGTCTCTCTGTCTCTCTGTCTCTCTGTCTCTCTGTCTCTCTGTCTCTCTGTCTCTCTGTCTCTCTGTCTCTCTGTCTCTCTGTCTCTCTGTCTCTCTGTCTCTCTGTCTCTCTGTCTCTCTCTCCCGCGAAGTTGTGCGGACCAATTATCTGCAATCGCATCCTACATGAGCCGATGT